CACAGCTCCCACTGTCATCAAAGAAAAGGTTTGCCTGAAATCACAAGCTTTCGGAGCTTTCGGTACACCTGACGAAGGAGCAGCGCTCCAAAAACTTGTGATTTCAGGCAAACCTTTTCTTTGATGACAGTGGGAGCTGTGACATCCAGTGAAACTGCAGATATGATGCACTATAACCTGGTGTCGTGTGACTTCTGACTTTCTCCAGCCCAGTCCAACATCCGCACTGCCACATCATGAAAGAAAAGGAGTATGGGTCTCCTCCTGTGTCCTGGACAGTATTTATCTCCCAATGTCAACATCCTTAAAATGGAGCCTATTTTTATTGATCACCTTGCTGTTTGTGAAACCTTGCTGTGTGCACTTTGGCTGCATGGTTCCTACACGCATATATATATGATGTGAAATGCTTTGTGGTTGTGTAGGATGCTAAAGAAATGCAAGGTTTGCCTTGCAAGGTCTTTCATTTTTTTGCAAAACTGAAGCTTCTCCTTTCAGCATCAGGAGAGCATCAGTCACAGAATGCCTGTTGTGTGGGGAACTGGGAAAATGCCTCTATGGTGACATAGGGCTGGGCGTGCTCTATTGATGTTAGCGAAGGCTGAACAGGCACAACCTTCCATCACAGTCTGCTTTGTGAGTGCAGTAACTCAGGAGACCCAACTGGAACGGAGTGTCGTTTATTGTTGAACGTTAAAACAAAGCCACTACTAAAGGTGGACCCAGCCTGGGACACAGTCTTGCAGACACCTCCCTGGCTCTGCTTTGTGTTTTTTTTACAGTACAATGTCTGTTTAAGTTTATAGAGTGTGCCACTTTGTGCTGTTTCGGGACTTTTCAAATTAACTTGTGCTGAGCACTGACCGCCACTAATCAGACACCAGAAATCCACACCAGCAAGCAGTTCTTGATACTTTCCAATTAATTTGTTCAGAGATGTCATAACACACTTCTGGAGTAGGTGGGACTTGAACCCAGGAAACCTAGGCTCATAGGTAGGGACACTACTACTGTGACACATGAGTCCACCCACCCCCTGACCCCAGGTCTGCTTTATTTTCTTAAACTAATCAACCCATTTAGAGATATTATTACACACTCTCTGGGACTTGAACCTGCACCATAAGAATGCTAACCTGGGTATGCTTTATTTTATACCCAGAAGTGCTATCACACAGAACTGAGCGATTTACCCACCATCAAAATCACTATGAGTTTGTTTTTTTTTCTAACTAGAAACCACTATCAGTAAAAGACCTATTTAGCCAATTAAATATTTTCATGCATTGCCCATTAAGGGCAATGCAAGCCATCAAAGATGGGATGGGTAGGGATAGAAGGATGGGACTGATTCAAAATGGAGTTGGAGGGTGAGATAAAGCACTGTATTCCCCCACATTGCCCACTTTTCTCTAAAGACATTGAGAGCATTGATGGACACTGTGTGCTCCCTCTCCAATGCAACCATGGAATTGGGGCTAGCAAGAACTGCCGATGCTGGAGTCAGAGTCGATACAGTGTGGAGCTGGAGGAACACAGCAGGTCAGGCAGCATCAGAGGAGCAGAGAGTCAATGTTTCAGGCCTATTCTCCTTCATCAGGACTGGGGAGGGGGAAGTGAAATGGGAAATAAATAGATGGAAGAGGGGTGAGGCTGGGGGAAGGTAGATGGGATGGCGCTAGGCGGGGATGCAAGTAGGAGTAGTAGGGATCGGTCAGTGGGAAGGGTGGGGCAGATAGGTGGGGAAGGAGATGGGCAGGTTGTGTCAGGTCAAGGAAACAGGGATGGGAGGGAGGGTTGGAGCGGAAGAGAGAGTAGCAGAGTGAGCGGTCCCTACGAAAGGCAGATAGGGGTGGGGAGGGAAATATCTCTTTGGTGTGGAGTCAGATTGTAGGTGGTGGAAGTGGCAGAGGATGATGCGCTGGATGCAGAGGTTGGTGGGATGGTAAGATCCCACTTCCTTCAAACCAAAGGGGTGGCTATGGGTACCCGTATGGGTCTGAGCTATGCCTGCCTCTTCATAGTGTATGTGGAACAGTCCCTCTTCTGTTGTTACATTGGCGCTATCCCTCACCTCTTCCTCTGCCACATCGATGACTGTATCGGTGCTGCCTCATGCTCCCACGAGGAGCTTGAACAGTTCATCAACTTTACTGTCACCTTTCACCCCAACCTCAAGTTCACCTGGACCATCGCTGATACCTCCCTCCCCTTCCTGGACCTCTCTGTCTCTATATCCAGTAATCGTCTCAGCACCGACGTCTATTTCAAACCCACCGACTCCCGCAGCTACCTTGACTACAACTCCTCTCACCCACCTTCCTGCAAGACTGTGATCCCCTACTCCCAAATCCTCCACCTCTGCCGCATCTGCTCCCAACATGGAGCATTCCACTCACGCACATCCCAGATGTCCTCCTACTTCCAGAGCCGCAAACTCCCCCTTCCAGTGATCCAAATTGCCTTCAACTGCATTTCTTGCATTTCCCGCACTTCTGCCCTCAAACCCCCTTCCCCCAACAAAAATAAAGACAGAATCCCCCTGGTCCTCACATATCACTCCACCAACTTCCGCATCCAGCATATTATTCTCTGCCACTTCCGCCATGTATAATCCAACCCCACAACCAAAGAGATATTTCCCTCCCCACCCCATATGCCTTCGGTAGGGACCACTCTCTCTGCGACTCCCTTGTTCGCTCCACACTTCCCACCAACCCCACCACCCCCGGCACCTTTTCCTTCAACCGCAGGAAGTGCTACACCTGCCCCCTCACCTCCACCCAAGGCCCCAGACAAACATTCCATATCTGACAGGGATTCACCTGTACACCCTCCAACCTGGTCCACTGTATCCGTTGCTCCCCATGCACCCTCCTCTACATCGGTGAGACCAAGTGCAGACTCGGTGACAGATTTGCAAAGCACCTGCACTCTGTACACTATAATCAACAACATCTTCCGGTCACTAACTGTTTTAACTGCCCCTCCCACTCCCTGGGTGATATGTCCATTGTAAGGCTCCTCCAGTGTCACAATGACACCACCCACAAACTGGAGGAGCAATACCTCATATTCCGCCTCAGGAGCCTATAGCCCAATGGCCTAAACATAGAATTCACCAGTTTCAAAATCTCCCCACCACCCCCGGCCTCATCCCATGTCCAATCCTCCCTCTCATCCCCACCTCCTTGATCTGTCACTACCTGTCCATCTCCTTCCCCAGCTATGTGCCCCAACCCTTCCCACTGACCAATCCCCACTACCCCCTACCAGCATTCACCTAGCGCCATCCCATCTACCTTCCTCCAGCCCCATCCCTCTTCCATCTATTTATTTCCCAGCTCCCTTCCCACTTCCAG